AACTCAACAATGTTCTAGAATATTCTATGACCCTCCTCTCTAGAAAGCTCTAGAATATTCAAGAACATTCAATCCTTCTCCACACACAGTTAGAGAATTCTAGGCATCTCCACGGTATTCTAGAGATGTTCTCAGTAACTTCTCAATTAAGGAGGGAGCCCAACACATTTTAACTATTTTTCATATAATTTTTTCTTATGTTTATTAACACAGTGTACTTTGAATTCCCCATTCTTCAGCAAATCCAGCCAATTCAACCGCTTCAGTCACAACTTTATCAATTTCAGCAGATTCAACCGCCTAGCCGATTTAAGTGATACCAAAAGGACCCTTCGTTTTAGTCTCCATTTCATTCCACTAGATCTCATAAAAGGAACATAGCCAAAAAATGTATTGTTACGTGAAGAGGTTGTTTATGCTCATTTTATTCTTTGAGGTAATAACTAAACTTTGAGGAGAAATGATATTGTTTTTTGTTCCTATTTTAAGCAATAACAACCTTAGTACTCCCTTCGTCCCATATAAATGTTTTTTTTCTTTTTTGGATGTGCTATATAAACGTTCTCATTTTTATTTTAGAAAATCATTAACACTCTTAAATGACTATTTAATCATGAAATATTAAAAATAATATTACCGCCATCCCAAAATTATTAGCCAAATCCAAAATTTTGACCAATAATATATATTTATTGGAAATTATTTATAATATAAAAATGATATGAAATTTTTCTTTGTTAAAAATACTTTCATAAAGTAAAAATTTATAACTTTCATAATATTATACTAATCAAATTAAAATCATGGTACGGAAGTAGTACATCTATAACATCACAATTATCACCATTAACCACATTATATTATAATCTATTAAAATTATTCCTCAAAATATACATAAATTACATTATTTAATTATTGCCTAAATAATCGTGTCATTTTGCAATGTGAACTTTTAAACGGGATGGATAATATTTTTCTCAACAGTTTTCAAATATAGGAGTTCGGGTTTGTGTTGGAAAAATGTGTTAAAATTGCATTAAATGGTTATTTTGGAGAAATTATTTGAGTGGGATCCACTTCCGATTTGGGTCGGGTCAAAGTGGTTTCGAATTGTCCTTGTTAAGGGCTACAATTCGATATATGGTACGCTCAAAACGGATAACGGGTGAATGCGAAATTGATTCTCGAAGTTCACTCGTTGAAATGGAAAAACTGGGAAAATAATGAGTTTCTAGTGTGTTTTATACAACACCGGAAAACTCAAGGGATTTTCACCCCCTTATAAAGGGAAGCCTCTTTTAAGGAGTTAATATTCCTAAAGGTAAAGGCTCTCTCTTATGCACAAGAGGGGTGCCGATCAAATCCCGAAACGGAGAAGAAAAACCATGACTCGTGTGCGCGGGCGACCTGCGGACACGAATGTCTTCCAAAAACCTATCATTCAAAGATATATGGTATGCTCAAAACGGATAACGGGTGAATGCGAAATTGATTATCGAAGTTCACTCGTTGAAATGGAAAAACCGCGACTCGTGTGCGCGGGCGACCTGCGCACACGAGTTTCTAGTGTGTTTTATATCACACCGGAAAACACAAGGGATTTTCACCCCCTTATAAAGGGAAGCCTCTTTTAAGGAGTTAAGATTCCTAAAGGTAAAGGCTCTCTCTTACGCGCAGGGGGGTGCCGATCAAATCCCGAAGTCCTCGAGTTCTGTTCGCACCAGAATTGCTCCTCTTCTGGTGAGGGTATTCCGGTCGCACACCAGAACTGCTCCTCTTCTGGTGGGGGTATTCTGGTCGCGCACCAGAACTGCTCCAAGATGTTTCAACAATAAATGTCCAACGTTCTTCTCTTTTAATGTTGCGTTAAATGGACAATTTATGGATGATTCAATGCCTAACGGACTGGTCATTGATGTCCAACGTTCAGGTCCATTAACACTCCATTTAACACACAACAAATCCTCCTATAAATGGTTGGCAGGTGGTTTGCAACAACAGAACACACAATACATTCCTCACATATTTTGAGCTCTAAAACACTTCCAGCTACTCCGAAAATTCCTGAGTGTTCTGCCTTTGTTCTCGTTCACCGGAACTCTCGTTTGTGTGCTCAAACGTTACTTCGTTAGCCACCGTATCCTGGGAAACGGTCGTTGCAACGCTCCTAGCACCGTGGGAGGCGACGAATACGTTTTAAGGACATCGTGCGTAGCACGACCTCTGGCTAAACTCTGTCCCGTCTCTTTTTCTGTTTTTCTTTAGCTAATTAAATTAATTAATTATTTTTATTAATTAATATTTCTTCGTTTTTCCGAGACACACCCAACAGTTTGGCCCAATGGCCCTCACCTAAGAAACAATAGTGCATCGCCCGGCCTCACTTAAGATGTATGACAACATTCTTGGAGATTAAGAGGCCGTTTGGCAACATTGTTTTTCGGCTTATCAGGCTTACCAGCCAACTTTTTCACTAAACACGTAACTTTTGCTTTCGCGCGCTGAATTGTGTAATAAGCATAAAAAATAAGGTTGGAGTTACTTTTCTGGTTGTATTGGCTGAAGTTACTATAGATGACAATTTTAGCCATTTTTACTTATAATTTTTTCTTTATTTTATTAATAAAATATATTTTAAAATTATTTTTTTCTTAAATCAGCAGAATCAGTCAATGCAGCCACTTCAGCCAGAACTTCATAAGTTTCAGCTGAATCAACCAAATCAGCCGATTTTCGTGCTACCAAACAGGCTCTAAGACAGCTAAATCATCACCACAGTTTCAGTTGGCATAATTATGCAAGGTATTATCCTCAAGAGAAAATTGTCAATGTCAAGCTTCTTCTCAAAATAGGACCACAAAAATGTTTTTCCTAGGAAAAATTGTCAAATAAATCCTCCAAATATATCAAAAAAAGTCAATTAAGCTTTCAAACTAAAAGAACACTCAATTAGATCCACCAACTTTAAAAAACCAATCAAATAAGTACTTTAACTGCTACCAATGGGTTAGCAGGTTAGTATGCCAACATGGCTGGTCCACGTGTAGGATTTCACTCTTGTTTTCTTTTTCGTTTTTTACTTCCGGTTTAGTGCACCAAATCACAGACTCATTAACCTCTGTGATTTAAAAAATGCGACAAACCCCCTTGTGTTTTATTTAATTATGCGCAAAATCCCTTATATGAACAAATTCAATTGTCAAATAAAAGAAAATTGATTAGTATTTTTATATGATTTAGAGATTTTGACATATTTACTTGCATATTCAATCAGAATATTAGGAAAAGTAATTTCAAAATCATTAAATTTATTCATAAAATGGGTTATGTGCCTAATTTCCTTAATTTAAGGATTTTATCAATTCAGAATCCGAAAGATAGATGAACTATCAATCCGGGACCTAAAAGATGAAATGTATCAACATAGGACCTGAATGATGAAAAACTATCATTATAGAACCTGAATGATTTAAATTTATCGATCTGGGACCTAAGTTGTCATGAATTTTATTAATTTTTTAACCCATATCAAATTAACATTACCATTTTCAAAGAAAAGGAACAAGTAGAACAACCGTGGAAGTAGTGTCAACTCCGTCGGCAGCTAAAGAAGATCCCCATAATCAATTGCCGATCTCAGCTGAATAAAAGAATAATGATAACCCGCTGAAAAAGCCGCCGCAAAGAAGGAAAAGAAAGCGGATGACAGTGGGAATGGGAGAAGAGTACATAGTTGAGGCACGTGCATGCCTGCATGTATAAGGTGATGAAACAAGTGCTCCCTACTTTGATGAAGTACATCGACCCAAGCTCTCTTTCGTCCATGGAGATTCAGGATAAAGGAAACGAAGAAAAAGAAAAGGATAAAGAAAAAGTGAAGATAATAACATAAAAAGGACGGAGAAGAATTAAGGGGGAGTAGGACAAACATGCCACCAAGAAAGAGAAAGGAAGAAGAATGAGAGAGTAAAGAAAAAGAAAAAATGGTCATCATCCGTTTTTTTGGCTAATGTGATTAGTACAATTGTGGAAGGGTCTAATTGACCCCTTTCTCTATAATTTATTACAGACTGCAAGAAATATGTTCTATAATTTGCTGGACATTGACTGCATATTAGACATGAGTTCTGCTCTGACTTGGTCTCTTTTTATTTTGCCTGTTGTCGTCACTGGAAACTGATTCCTCCACCTAATAAATCTTTTTGGTACTTTAAACCTGGAAAAGATTTTAGCATCAACGACTTAAAGAAAGATACCATGCATCAAATGCTCTCATATATATATTCCAGATGTCACAAAGGTGCAGATGATGGATTAAAGACATACCTAGTCAATTGTTTTTCTTTACAGAAGCAGCGGAGGATGTCAGCAGACAAGTAGTTAACTGATGGAGGGCTGGAGCTTAAATCATCCCACTGCCAATTGCATTTGAGCTGAATGCAGGAAACAACCATCTCTCCCAAGCGCAAATCTGGAAGTCCAACAACTACATTGCCAGAAACACCAGGATGTTGTGACAGGACAGCCTCTACCTTTTGCACAAGACAAATATGGTTATTTTTGTAGGAGGGCTTGAGGCTGGATGCCACATACAATTCTTTATGATCACAGAACAACCAAAAAAGAGTTACTCTTATGTTCTATCGGCAGGTTGTAACATGCACAGACAAGTAAACATTATAGTAGTATAGGCAAGACATTTTTTTTTTATTTTAAAACTTGAACTGTCAGTGTTACAGATTTATTACGGATTGCATAGACCATTCTAGCCTTCTGGCATCACTTAGTATTCATCAGTTTGTGTGGAAGAAATACTACAGAATGCCAAGTTAATCAGCACATCTGCGATTTTAAAAACTACATTAGCAAATTAACCATACTAGCTACATTATTATTATAATAAGCAATATAATTTCTAGCTTCATAACAAGTTTTCAATTATTTCTAGCCTATGTGGCTTTATGTATCGTATTGTCTCATCTAGAGGCAAATACTAATGTTATATGGTTTTTGCATGAATTTATAGTGTAATATGACAAAGACCCCAACATAGTTAAGATGAAACTTGAAAGTGGTGACGATGAAGGCAACTTACTTCTTCAGGATAAACATTTTCTCCTCCACTCTTGATTCGACCCTTGGAACGCCCAATGAGCCAGATATTGCCATGGTCATCTATATGACCAATGTCACCTGTGTCAAGCCAGTTTTCACCAGCAAATTTGGAAGTTTTGTTTGATATCTGGCCCCAGTATCCAAGCATTACATGAGAGCCTCGTGTTAGTATCCTCCCATTACGACATGAACTCTCTGCACAAACTCTTAATTCAACATGTGGGGCAGGCTTTCCAACACAGATGCCTTCTTGTTGACTTGCCGAATTGGAGTCCCTATCATTATTTAATTGGAGCGCGTGTCTAACACTTTCTTTTGCTGGGTCATAGAGAGTCTTGAATGTCATAGAAGAGCATGCCTCTGTCATCCCTTCACATTTTTGAAATATAACACCATTCATGTCTGAATCAAGGTATCAAGGAATATAAATACTAGGAAAGGCTATAATTCCATACAAAAGAACTGAAATCTCAATCACACGCTGCTTGTATGTGACCATAAAATCCTAATCCTTGTAAGGTTCTGCAGAATAGATAAATATTGGGGTTTATTGATTCAAGACCCAAAAGATAGGTTAATCATCAATAACCCGTTGTTTTAAAAAAATTCTTAGCCGATTATATATTAAACACAAAAATGTCAAATAGTTTCGCTTACTATCTTCATAACGGCTATCTCTTGCCCCCGCACCCAAAAAACTCCAATTACACACATGAACTTAGAAAAAGCAACCAATCTTTCTTCTACATGGCTACACAAGTGGCTACACAAGAAAAATGGCTCACTAAACTGTATGCGCTTCTTTGTTATGAAGCAGCAGTCAATCTATGCAATTTTTGATGCAATTTTCACTTTGGGTCATTCGGAAACGGTCTCTTTGTGCTTTAGCACAGGGGTAAGACTGCGTACATCCAACCCCCCTTACCCCACCGTAGGGTGGGAGCCTTTGCGGCACTGGGGTAATAATGATGATGATGATTTAACTTTCCCTTCTCTTTTTTTCTCTTTCTTCTCCCAGATACACCATTTTGTGTTCTGCATCCATTGCCTCCACCCTCCATGGCATCTAGCACATCCCCTACACCTCCACTTCATCGCCTGTGACCATGACCACCCTACACTCCACCGCATCCAGCCCAAATAAACTGGAAGTATAAGAAAAGTGTTTATTATAGTAGGCCATGGATTGGACTTGCATGTTACAATCATCTTTTCCTGTCATTTCTTATGAATTTGGGGAGTAATAGAGAAACTAAGAAGCATGACTTTTTTTCTTTTTTTTCCCTCAAGGTTGCCGAAAATTCTGAGATGCCATAGATGCTGGCAAGATCTTGGGGGATGGAATGAATATGACAAAATTCTGTGGTAACCTCAAGGTACCGTACCGTACCTTGTCCATGTTGGCCAATTATGGCATGAAAAGAAAGAAATGAAAGAAAATGGAAAGAGGAAGGAAATAAAATAAATTCATAAGATGGTGAGTTGGTAAGGTTTAGGACAATGTGGCTGTGACTTGGAGGTGATGCGATGGTGATTCCTGGATATCTGTAGGAAACCTGCTAAATGGACAAATTGGGCATTTTTCATTTGTACGTGTGTTTGAATGGGTGTTTTTGTTACATATGCTATTTCCAATTCAGAAATACTTAGAGGATCTTAGACACTTAGATCGATATCTTTCATCTTTCGGACCCCGAATTGATAGATAACAGTCTGTGTCCTGAGTCCACAAAACTACATTATTCTTTACAGTTAAGCTTCAATGCTCTCCATGCCTCTAGAAGCACTCGAAACAAGAGCTTTAGGTAATGACATTCCATTTTCGTATCCTTCACTCATTGGGGCTTTAACACGTCATGCCCTTATCCTACCAAATTTTAATTCAGTCCCTAATAGCCCATTTCACCAATATCACTCCTTCCCTTGAAAGTACATAAAAATGAAAACCACATTGCCTGAACAGCTGACCACTTGTAAGTTATAATAAGTTGACCTAAATTTATGTGTGGATCCATCTTTTTTACTGAAAAAATACAGTACATACCGTACGCGGATATAAGTTTAGCTCTTGGGAATATTTTAGCAGCATGATTGATAAGCTCAACTGAAAGAGCTCCACCTCCATTAAGTATCTTCTTCACTGTTGGTGACCCTTCCGATTCCCCTTTTCTGCTGTAAAAATTTCTAAAACATGAAATGGAATTTCGAAAAGGTGATGGTGCGCTAAATAAATGTGTTCTCTTGCTCTCCATTACATTGATAGGAAAGATTCCAACTTTATCATATGTTATTAACTAACAAAGTACAGCATTATTAAATCACTCTGCACATGTATAGGTGAAGTTATCAAGCAGGGAACATGCTAACAGTGAGCAAGTTAGTAATTAGTATTCCAATATATTCACTCATCAATATTGCTAGGGAAGGTCTCAAGAAGGCATCCAGATGTAAATGGGCATAATTTTACCAATTACCCCCATATACTCCAAATATATATTCTTATAGTGTTAAAGACTAAAGGCCACCTTGCATACCTGTAAAATGATACTAGATCAGTCATCATAGCTGGAACAGTAATTAAAGAGGTGACAGCATATTGGTGAATGGATTCAACAGCCAATCCAGCATTAAACTTGGGTATTAAAATGTGACAGCCTCCAGCCATTAACACAGCCATGGCAGATGACATTCCACCAATGTGGCAAAGTGGAGCCATGTGTAAATACACCTGTAAGAATTGCGAGAGCATTAATTCAAGAATATTACAGGATGCATCATTTGTGGTTTGAACGGGCATCTTATCTTTTCTTTTAACACATGAAGACCTACATCATCCTCTCGGTAACCAACAATTGCGATTTTTGCAAGGGACTGTACTATCAAAGCAGAGTGGCTTAAAGTAACTCCCTTAGGTTTGCCAGTGGTTCCTGTTGTGAATTGCCATTTACAAAGAAAAGAAAGGCATCAGCAAGTAGGTATAATAGGACACTTGAAAGTTGAAGCATTAAGAAAGAAGTATGAATACCTGAGGTAAAACATATTATAGCAGCTCCCTCAGGGGCCCACATATAATTAGTTTCTAAAGATATGTTATTGCGGTTCTTAAGCTTTTTTGTAGTCAACCCTAGAAAATAACAAGATATAGAAATACATCAACTCAAGGACAGGAGAGATATCCATGAACAAGAAAAGCTTGGTTATGCATTAATTGACTTTTCAAACTTAGGCAAGGAAACTCTAACTCATACCATTCCAAGTGCTTTCCACTCCGAAAGGGATGTCAATTGAGACATGCCATCTTAGTGAAGATATAGAGTCTATATCAAACTTGGAGTGCCAGAAATTCAACGCTGAGTCTGTGACCAATAATGTAGGCCTTGCCACCTTCACGGCCTCACTTGCTTCTTCCAAGCTCTATAAGCTGAGATTAATTACTATGACCAAACACCTCCCAGAAATACAGATTAGAATCTCAGGCATCCGCTTTTTTCACCTTATCAGTTATATGTATAATTGTACTGTATACATATATGTCTGAAAGTTGGACAAAAGTCTGATTGCGAATAGGAAACTCCAGGTTTTTAGGAGGGACAAAACACCGATCAAAAACAGGTTAAAGACTAAAAGTACAGCATAAGTTTAAACATCTTATAGGTAGTACTAACCAATCATATTTGTAGAATTTTGAGATTCAAATAACACAAATCAGGTAACATAGAATATGTTGAACAAAAAATGAATGCGGAATACTATCATGGGTGGTTAAATTTAACACAATTCATTATTGATTGGATTTCAACCCTCTTTTACCTTAAGAGTGGTTTTAATTCAACCTGCCCAAATTTCCATGTAATATGAACTGGGGCGGGTTGGTGATACTACACTTTAAACTTCCAAAAACAACCCAGGTACTGCACTACCGAGAGATAAGTTGCAATATGCTAATGCATATCATGAAAGAACTTAATACAAGGTCCTCATATTGTTTCATAGAATACTGGGTCTCATATTCCTGGCCCATTGTGTACTGTGTAGTTCAAGTATGTAAACTAATTACAATCAACTAGATCAGGGTTGGCCCACTAACCCAGCGATAATTGATTGGAGCAGTAATTCCTCCAGCATATGCAACCGCAAGTAACCATTCCAAATATAAATCACTGTTACAAAGCAATGTGTAACAGTTTAAAATACCTTCATCTTCAAGACTTCAACCTATATCGCCATTTTTTACACCAAAATAGTGTAAATATTTGAACATCACAACAAACAGTATATACACTCAGAACCATTTACACCACTAATGTCACCATTCTCTTTGTATTCTAGTTTACTTTCTAATTGATTATATTGAATTTTTAACTTAAGCTTATACTTCGTAATATTTAGGGTACTACCTTAACCAAAAAGAGGAAATGAAGTAGCACACAAATCGGAAATGAAGTACAACAGTCAGCCTATGCAATTTTCGACGCGATTTTCACTACGCGTCATTCGGAAATAGACTCTCTGTGCTTTAGTACAGGGGTAAAACTACGTACATCCGACCCCCCCCCCCTTACCCCACTGTAGGTGGGAGCCTTTGCGACACTGAGGTAATGATTGCGGCACTGAGGTAATGATGATGATGGTTTTTAACAGTTTTAACTACTAAATAATCGGGAACTTTAACTTAGCAAATAATATATAGAAGATTTGTAATAGCAATTTATATTTTTAACAGATATAAATTGATCCCCTTTTATACCTACTTACAATTACAATTTAAGTTAGTTACAATTACATAATTAGTTTTGGGATTAAGGCTTGGATAATGTTGTTGTTTGACGATTACATAATTAATCTGTTCTTATATGATTCATTTTGTATGGGCATAATTTTAATAAACAAAGAATTGCCACATTAGTATTTGTTTGTAAAAGGAAAAATTTATTAATCATATAAACTTATTTTGGTATTGAATATGGATTGTGCTACACTTTTTTTAATCCATGGACTTTTAGAAAAGTCAATGGACTTTTAAATCCATAGACTTTTCTATGAATGGATTCTATTGACTTTTAAATTCATGGATAAGTTTATAGACTTTCAAAAAATCCATTGACTTCTACATTCGGAACACCATTACCAGTCGTCAGCATTTTCACATAGATCGCCGCTACCGATCTACCTGTTTGCCTCCTCATCTAAGCTCACCGTCGTCGTCATCATCAGACTGATCCACTCAACAAAACAGCTTTGGTTGTGCAAGGGAATTAAGGGAAATTAATTATATTAATTAATTAAATTAGGAGTAAAAATGTAATATTTAGTCCTATTTAAGGGAAATCAAACATATAATCATATTTTGGGGAAAATGCTATGTTTTAGTCTGATCCCGAGTAATTTCTTCTGTATAATACCATAAAAACATTTAAGTAAATAAATGAAACAAATGCCATTCATCTAGCAATAAAGAGGTCAACAAGAATAAATGAAGCATAAGAATGCAATTTTTTTTATTAAAAAACTCAAAGTTTCTAGAATTCTCAACATTCTCGGTCTATTTATGTTCAATTGTTATATTACACAACTCCAAGAGTAAGAACACTTACACAAGTGTTACACTCATTTCTAAATGTGGTACAAGAATATGTGCAATCGAGTTTTTCTTACTAATAATTGTTTTCTTTTCATTTTTAGCTTGTTAAATTTTGTATACGTAATTGCGGTTATATATTCATTAATTTGAAATTATATTTTTATGTGTTAGCGGTTAACGATGAAACACGCTAATAGTTAAAATATTTTTTCTTAATCGTTAACTGACGACATGCCACAGTTGCAGCGATGTAATACTATTGATTCTTATATCGGTTTTTCTAACACTTCTAGAACTGAATTGATATGAGATTAATGGTTCTTTATGTTCCTAACTTTCTTTCATGAATTGAACCAACCTCACCCCTACATTTTTCTTCATAAGACGACATATAAAATATCACTTTTTAATTTTTTTTTATGTTTATCTTGTGTATCGGTATTAATGTAGAATCTCCTTATTCAATTTTATTTATCGTAAAATGATAAAAAAAATCAAAATATCATGTTCAAATCTTGCATATTGAGACCATTCTGGTACCCACCTCCCGACTCTGGTGATACTAGTCGAGGACTTGTTGGGCGATTTGTGATCTCGGGTAAGTATTAGTCAAATCTGCAACTAGATCTATGCATACTTGTGACAAGTAGGAGACTACTTAAAAGTCTACGAAAATCTTTGGTGAGGAGAAGAGACAATTGCAGATACACCTAGACTTTAATAGATTTTTAAAAGTCTACATTGAACACACTTAAATTTTTGTATACTTTTAAAAGTCCACATTGAATATAGCTAAACATTAAAAATACATGAATTTTTAATTTTTTTATCAATCATATAAACCCATTTTCCCATTTTTGCACAACTTTAGACCAAACCAGTGGCGGAACTAGGGGGAGCAAGCCGGTGCTGCCGCCCCCCGTTCGCCGGAGGTTTTAGTGTATATATATGTATATATACATGCTCAGCCCCGTCTCAATAATAATATGTACTGATTGACCCGTGTCTAACTCAATAGTTGGAGTAGCATAGATGGCTGAACAGTTTTAAAGCTGCGGGGAGACCTGGGTTCGAATCCTTGCTCAGTCTCCTTTTTTAATTACCTACTCCATTACACTTCTTCCTCTACTTATCTCTTAACCTTTTGGAATGTTATTAGTTTTAATATTTTTCCTACCACATTTCTTTTACTTTTATGTTGCATTTTTTATTTTTCAAATTCAAAATATTTACTCCGTATTTTGTACTTTTTCGAATATTAACATGTCATTTACATTTTTGTTTAGTACAAGAACAACAAAAAATGACTTTTAGCTATTGCTTCCCCTCTTCAAACATTGACCTATATCATTTTATAAAAAGTTTATCAATAAACTTTTCAAAACTACTTGAATTTTATATTTATTCCTTGGATTAGTACAAATATGCCAAAATTTCTTGTTGATATTTGAACTATCTGACTTTATATAAGTATAATTAGATTCATGTAATACTTTTGCAAAAAAATAAAATATCCTTTAGAAAGTAAATAACCTACTTGTAACGCTATTTGAAAAGAGAAAAAAATTATTATTTTCTTGATAAGTTAGTAACTTATATACATACTCCGTATGTTATTAATTTATCTTCCTCTACATGTTTAGCTATATTTCTATTTAAACCTTTTCATTCTAAAATAAAAGGGAAAACGTATTAAATCGAAATAAACTCATTTAATAAATGTAGTCTATTATTTTGTTTAGGCACTAACAAATCAGTTATACAAATGAATAAATGTCGATATTTAAGTTGATGTGTATATGTATGTGTGCGCTTGTGTGTGAATTATATATAGTTACAAATAAAGTGTCACTTCATGCAAATGAAAATAATATTATACAGTAATTTGAGATCAAATTACCAAATTACCCTAAAACGATACAGATTATGAATCTTCCCGACTAGTGGTTCAAAAATTTTTTAGCCCCTGCTCAAATTTTGTTCTGGTTCCGGCACTGGACCAAACAATGCTAACCTTCTTGATCTCCGTGATGAGTCAGAAGAGGAGTTAAGGATAAGGAAAGAGGGAGTAATAGAATTGGCCCCTCAACAAAAATCGTGAAGAGCAATAGAATTGTGAATGGATGTGATATAAGGAACAGTAGTTTGCATTATTAGCAAGTCGATTGAATTTTCCTTCAGTTTATTCTGCTAAGTAAATTTAAATTCAATTCAGGGCTGATGTTTGCAGAAGAACCTGTTGAGAGCAGAAATGGCGACCACATCACCGGGCTGAAGGCCAAGTTGGCGAAGCCCAAGCGCGAGGCTCAAAATCCCGTCCACGAACTGTGCGCCGGTCTTTCTTCTGTCCCCGGATATCGTCACCGTCGAGCTCCGGCGGGCCGCCGAGACGCGGCTCATGCATTGGCAGATGTGGGCTTTCGAGTAATTGGCCATTTGCATGAGTGTGTGTGTGTGGACGCAGTTTGAGCATTCAAATCTTTTCTTATCCGTTAGTGCCGTCGTCGTACTACGCCATTCCCTACACCATCCGACTCTAATTTTTCAATAACATTTTGTACACCAAATTTGAATTAAACTAAAAAGTTAATTAATTGAAAAATTATCGAAAATTACAGCACTTCTAGGAGTAAATTCTAAAAGGGGTAATTTGAGTTTACACCCCATTTTTATGTCCAGATTAGACTTTCCACCATGTTTTTTAAAAACTTTGTATTTGTATCTTAACCATATATGAAAAAACAAAAATGTTCATTCATTAACAATTCTTATATCCTTTAACATATTCCTGATTGAGGAGCATTTTAGTCTTTTCATATAGGGTTGGGGTGCATGTACAAAGTTCTTTAAAAACGTAGTGTAAAGTCTAACTTGAACATAAAAATGATGTTCAAACTCAAATTACCTCGTTCCAAAATAGGAGTTCATATTGTTTTTCATGCTTGGGCATTTCTTTTTCATTTATCATGTTTCCAATTCCACACACTACATTCCTTACCCGTGCATGGGATGAATAATTTGTATTTTTAACCATGTTATTAGATGGTGGTGGGAATCTATTGAATAGACCGAAAGACTCGGATTCAAATCACTCAAGATCTTGGGTGAGATCTTAATAGCACACACGGGTCAGTTCGAAAAAGTCGGGATCACTTCATACTAATAAAAAAACTTGTTGTTAGATATGTAGATATATTATGGTACATATTTGTTTTTATACAATTTTTTTATCATATTTGTGTTTATACAGTTATTACTAGTATTGTTATCATTATTAATATTATAATTATTACTCTTACTACTATTATAATTTTTTTATCATATTTGTGTTTATACAATTATTACTAGTATTGTTATCATTATTAATATTATAATTATTACTTCTATTACTATTGTTATCTAGATCTATAAGATGTTATTGTTATTTGCTTATGTAAGAATGTTTAAATATGATCTAATCTATTTAAATCTGGTCTAGTCCAAGATTTTAAATCGTGGTTGTGGTTGTTGTGGTTGTGGCTAATGCGACCACTGGGGTGTGCACCGGTTAAAAACCGGACAGGGCCGGACTGAACCAGAATGGAACCAGAACCGGATTTGCCATGATATGGACACCAAAAAACGGACCGGATGTATTCCGGTTTTTATCCGGAACCAAACTGGTTTATCCGGTTCAAAACCGGAACCGGACCGGAAAATTGGTTTCTAAATAAATAATCTTTTTCTTTGCTAAAAGCTACTAATCATTTGATAAAGATGGAGTACTTATTATTACAATATTGCTTTTATTACTATTGTTTTCTAAACTCATTTTAATTAATTTTAGTGAGCAAATATTGGAGTAACTTGAGACTAGAATAATATATATTAGTTAGTTTTATAACTTTATTATTTTGAGAATAAAAATGAATGGATAAAAATAATATTAGGATAATCATTATAATCCCTCCGTCCCTTAAAACTTTGCCATTTTTCCTTTTTGGGACGTCCCAAAAAACTTTGTCACTTTCTCTTTTAATGAATTATTTTGTGGTTTCTGTTATTTCTCTCTTCTCTGCACAAATCTAAACCACACAGTTTACCCTTGATGGCGAAGCGGGCCTATTTTATGGATCTGTTTGGAATAGTAGCGCTTCGTTTCCGTTAATTTTTAGCATTTTCAGTATTGATTTATTCTATTTGATTCCTTTGCTCATTTCATTTCTTATAAAGAGGTATTGGTATAGTCCCCCTCTTTCCTGTAATCAATTTTATTTTAATAAAATCCTGTTATCTGACTCCCGACATTTACCCCACTGATTTTGGTGGTTTGCCTTCTGGGATTAAAAAAAATTCGTGCCGGTCAACTTTGGCAAAGTTTTAAGGGACAGAGGTAGTATTAGTATTAGTAAATATATTTTTAAAAATATTGCAAAACCGGTTAAATCCGGTTCAAACCAGAATAATCCAGTTTTAAATCGGAACCAGACCGGAAGCCGGTTTCCTAAATTTTCATAACCGAAAACCGGATCGGATATCATTCCGGTTCGATCCGGTTCCGGTTTTTCCGGACCGATTCGGTCCGGTTTTCCGGTTTGAACCGGATAGTGCACATCCCTAGCGGCCGCTGCGATGCGTATTGTGGCCGCTGCGGCGTGAATTATTTTCAAATTCGCACCAGAAAGGAATATCATGATTTGTTTGTATTCTTTAACATATCTTCTACTCCGTATTAATTGTATAACAAAAAATAGTTTATTCGAATTAATTGATGATAATATTAATAGAACCATTATTAATACTTCTTCTTTTTATGATGCATTCTGAATACTTCTTTAAACACTTATGCGTGAACAATGAATCAACCTATAAGAATATAATGATTAAACGAGAATAATGATTAGAAAGATCGATAAACTATATAAATATTACAAACACCATTACAAATTTCTTTAAACTAAACAAGTCTTAACAGATCTTTAAATTAAATAGATCGTTACATTAAATGAATATTGCACACACACACTTCAACATGTACTCACATGATACTCCCTCCGTCCCAAATTATTTTGCAAATTCAATATTTTTTTATCAACCAATAATAAAAGTCAATCCTCTCTGCCGATAACTAGCTTGATTTTTAATAGTTAAAATTTACATATTCAGAAACTACATTAAAATTTATTCAAAGTAGCAAACTCCAAATTAGAATATAATTAAACATTGACATCCTAATTAAGCAAATAAAATGAAACTCTTTGACCAAATAAAGTCAAATTTGCAAATCAATTTAGGACGGAGATAGTATTGTAAGGAATAAATGTATTTAGATTTTGGTGATGCTAGTTAATTAGGATTTTAGAGTACCCCTCATTAGAAATTTGTATTAGAATTTTTCTAAGTGTAAGCATTCTTAGAATAGTCGACTGAACAGAAGACCTCCAGGCCCTCTGTTGTCTTCTATCCTGACAGAAGTGTCAAGGTCCTCTGCTGAATTCTCTAGTCAGAAGACCCCCACGACTCTCTGCTGAATTATCTGGACAGAAGACCTCCAGGCCCTCTGTTGACTCCTATCCTGACAGAAGTGCTCGAAGTCCTCTTTGATTAAGTATCTGTTCAAGATTCCCAGAAGGCCTCATACTTAGAGGATTTTCAGAAATCTACCTAAGCCGGTGAAACCACGGAAGATTCCCTCAACGACTAGGAGACTTCAATGGAAAAGCTACAGTGTACGCATTTAATGCTCATCTAATGAGCCTCGTACGATGTAGAGTAAAAGTTGATGATTGGCCGACATTCCAGGATAACTTTAGAGAAATAGACATAAATAAGACTAAAAGAAGAGTCCCGAATGTAAATAGGACCCGACTGTTGCTGAGGGCCTTGAATAAATTGGGACAAATGGCCCGCTTGTATCAACCTTTCGATGGCCGTCTTCAGCTGATGGCAGTCATCGGTCATGTGCCCCTGGTGCCGGTGGAAACGACAGTAGGGGTAGTTTGGATTGATGGCAAATACTTCCGGGGGTGCGCGTGAATCTCGCTCCACTAGGCCCCTCTCCTCAGCAAAATCAAGAATGACGCTGACGGGGTGCGTCAAAGGTGTCCGAGGGTGCTCCAGGAGAACAGGCTGCGCCCAAGCCCTCGGGTTCCCCTTGTAGCCTCCCCCGGGCTTGGCTTGGCCATGCCGGGGGCGATCACCAGAGGGGGCAGAATCCTTGGGATGATTGCGGGGAGCCCCCGGCCACCGGTTACCTTTGTCGTCTGGCCGAGGGCGCTGCTGATCCGGGACGTGGTGGCATTTCTCCACCTCCTCGGCTTCGGCGTACCGGTCCCCCCGCTGTAGGGCCCTTATATAATCGCGGGGAGGCTCGATGATGAGGCTCCTTGAGAAGTTCCCGGGGCGGAGTACTGTTTGGAGGAGGACCAGGAGGGTCCCGTCGTCAGTGCCATCAACTTTATCAGCCTCCGTTCTCCAGCGCTCCAAGAAGTCCCGAAGGGTCTCCTCCTTCCTCTACCTCACTGTCAGCAAGTGAGAGAAGTGTTTTCTTGTGTGGCGCCTTCCCGCAAATTGCGTCAAGAATCGCTGGGCGAGTTCTTGCCATGAGTCAATGCAGCCCTCGGGCAATCGATTGAACCATTCTTGCCATGAGAATCCATTTGATCCAATTTCAACGAACTCGGTTTGATTCATAGCCAAATCTGAGTTTGAGATTGGATCTCCATAATCTAGTTAGGGTATAGGCGATCGTGATCTTATTTGAGGTTTTCGTTCCTTGTCCAACGCAGGTCTATATCATGAAAAAAAAGGATTCAATAGCTGCCATTTTATACCTTCTTCTACTTCTATATGCTCCCCTCTTTTATCTACTTGTGCTGCTATAGTGCTATGCGTAGCTTTTTGTTGCTGTTTTAATTTTCAATTTCTTAATTATTGATTTTACTCTTCTTCTTTTTTTGGAAAGGATTGATTTTACTCTTCTATTTTGTTGATGTTTTACTTTTCCTTTCATAAACTTTAATCGACTTGTGTTGCCAGTACTATTTATTTTGCAGATTTATTAGTTTTTCAAATTAATTTTCTGGATAAGTAAAAAATTAATTTTCTGGAAAGTATTTCTTAGTTATTGTCATATTTATATTACAATGTCAATATTGCAATGTTATATTACAATTCTGCATGACCATATCATAATATTTCAATGCCATAAACAAAAACAATGTCATTTCTTCACAATGTCACATTGTCATTACTGTGATGTAACAATGTCATATCCCAATATTATAATGTCATTAACTAAAACAATGTCGCTAAATGTTAATATCGCAATGTCGTAATGTTGTTACATAATGTCACGTGATAATGTAACAAAATCTATTATGACGCTGTTAATTTTATAAAAAAAGGTCACAATGTCAAAAAATTTCATATGAATGTCAATGCCAATGTCAATAAAATGTCATAAAAATGTCAATGATAATGTCATAAGAATGTCAATGACAATGACATAAGAATG